ACAGTCAGGACCCGTTCCCCGACCCGAAGGCGCAAGGAAGCTACCCTCTTGTCCCCCGGGGTAAACCCCAACACACAGGCAGAGAGTCTCGGGGCTAACAAAAAGCCAACCCCAGCCCTCCGCCTCTCACCCGGAGCAACTCCAGCAAAGTAGAGTGTCCAACCCCTCTCCAGGTCTCGGGTTCCAGAGCCAATGCAATGTGTCGAGGTGAGTCCGACTATATCTAGCCGGTACCGCTCAACCTCTGCCACAAGCTCCGGCTCCTTCCCCGCCAGCGAGGTGACGTTCCATGTCCCAAAAACTAGTTTTCTTGTCCGGGGATTGGACCGCCAAGGCTCCCGCCTTGGTCTGCCACCCGATTCGCATTGCACCGGACCCTTCATGTTCCTCCTGCGGGTGGTGGGTCCACAGTTGGACGAGCCCATGTATCCGGTTCGGGCTGGGCCCGGCCGGGCCCCATGGGCGAAAGCCCGGCCACCAGGCGCTCGCTCACGGGCCCCAACCCCAGGCCTGGCTCCAGGGTGGGACCCCGGTAACCCTCCGGGCCGGGTACTCTGACTCTTCGTTTTAATCGCCATGAAAGATCCTTCGAACTGTTCTTTGTCTCACCCTTCACCTAAGACCAATTTGTCATGGGAGACCCTACCAGGGGCACTAAGTGCCCCAGACAACATAGCTCCTAGGATCATTAGGGCACTCAAACTCCTCCACCACGATAAGGTGACGGTTCAATAAATCTGTAAAGGATAATTAAAACAACAAATAAGGAATTGCAACATCTAAAATGTGTGATGATAACTGTATTAAATATTTCCCACCTTATCAGTGGAGCAGCTTTTTAAGCAGCTCACTCTTCTCTGCTAGTCAAAGTCATTTTATTGTCATTTCTACCGCATGTGCAAGACATACAGAGAAACGAAATTTAGTTTCAGTACACACAATTCAGAGATCAGACATACAAGACAAGGCAAGGACATGACAAGAATTGGTGACTGCGGTCATTCGCAACATGAGTCGCGCTACCTTAATAGATGAAAAGGAATTACATGAGGATAGGTTGGTGGAGGGAAAAAAACAGGCATACCATAGTTACACCCGACAGGGCGTAGCTGTACTATGCAAGTCTATCCATCACAGATTGCAGTTAGAGGCTACAGTAGGTCCAGGCAATACAACTCAATGGGAGAAAAACTGTTTTTGGAAGAAATTTCCAAAAAGAAACTGTCCAAATGTTTCCCTGAACATTACTTTACAGTGATTGGATTCACAAACCTGCCATATTATGTATTCATTCCTATGTTGCTGAAAGTCCTTTCTACTGGTCAACATCACACATGTTTTTAATACACTTGTACATCTTTAAGGGAAAATTAATTAGAGTTGCCCTCAGTCACCCCTGCTTTCCACCGGAGCCGGAGGGAAAATAATGAGAATGGAGATGAAATGGATGGAAATATCTGCAGTTTTCTAAATGGATGGAGAGTTAAATAAAAACTTTTTTTTACTTTTTCTGCTTCATGTTAGCGTGTGATTATCAGATGTGTTGGGAACAGGACAACTGCATTAAAAACATCACGGTCGTGTTTCCCCCCTCAAGTTTCTCCTCCAGCCTCGGGTGGTGAGAGGAGAAACTGTGACAGAAGGGAGAGTGACGGGCAGCGGGACAGTTCGACACACTTCTCTTCCATGATGCAACAAATAATAAATCAGTTGGATCGTCCTGCATTGCCTAGAATGAGTTCTGATGATAATCCACGGAGTTTGAACATTAAATCGCTCCACCATGTCCACGGAGGAGCTGTGAAAAACCAGGTAAAGGAGCAGAGCGGAGAAGAGCAGGGGGCTGTTACCACAAATCTGCTTCATACAGCAGTGAATAAATGTGTCTGATCGCCATGCGTTAAGTTAAATAATAAGTTTTGATAATAATTTGTGCAGAGCATTAAAAGGATATTTTCTGATCTACCATGGGCGCTGTCGCGCTGCATTTGTGGCTGATGCGCCTCTCATAATTGGCCGGTAGGAAGGGACAAGCAGCAGAGTACGTGAGAATGTGCTGCCCAGTAACACGCTGCTGATGGGACCTGTCTGATGGAAAGGGGTCACTCACTGTTGATCTATGGGCTCTTTAGAATGTTGTAATGAAACCAACCTTTGGCATATATATTTAAACTAAATCTATCGCTATCGCTTATACTATTGCTTGTAAGTCGCTTTGGACAAAAGCGTCTACTAAATACATAAACATAAACATAAACATAAATCAACCCAAATACCAACACTCACAGCCTTTTTAGCTCATATTACATGATGACACCTATAGATATAAAATGTTTTCTACTTCTTATTGAACACACACACCATGTTTCAAAATGTAACCTGGCCAGCCCCGTGCTAATGCTTCTACTGTCTGTGTCGCCCACGGTGTCGCCCCTTCTCCTGGCGCACAAGCAGCACCTGCTGGGGTGGTGACTAAGGCAGACCCAGGACCAAATAGGGCTGTCAACTTTGAACACTTAGCAGCTCCCACCTTTAGAGACTTCAATCTTTTTCGCCAAAACTTTTCTGCGCCACCCAAACGTTTCTTCGGCTTCTCCATTTTCACATCAACAGTCCGAGGCACGGCACTGTTCAACCACTCCCGCCGACCAGCAATGAGGCCCCGCCCACCCTGGTTTGTGCTGCCTGTGATTGACAGCCCTGTCGCAAGGCCCTGGACCAGTCAGCCCATGACAATGAGAAACAGACCAATAATACATCTTGATGTGGGCAACACACTGCTAGCCTCAGTAACCTATTGGCCGGCCCAATTTGTAAGAAATCTGAGGGCGAGAGAGAAAGACGAACGAAACGAGTGGATGAATGAATGAATGAATGAAATAATTAATAAATGTCAGACTGGCCCGGCGGCCCCCCCACATTGGGTTCGTCGGCCCAACTGGATGGCTCCCGGTGCGCCAGATAGTCAGTCCACCCCTGAATACATCACCACAGGCTAAACTCTCCCAGAGTTACCTTAAGGACCAATTTAGTGTGTCACCCCAAAAATTTCTTTGGCCCTGTCTGGCCATCCCTATTAAAATTTTCTGGAGGTGCCCCTGCCTTCAAGTATATGTGAAGGCAGAAGTCCCAGTACGTGTAATATTTTTTAAATAAACCACCAGAAGTCAGCGACTCTGGGTGTGTTTTTCCTTTCAGTCTAAACAAATGTTTTAGTGATTAGACAAAGGGGTGGGGCAAAGTATGCTGCAACTGCAGTTCGTTAAGTTTCAGCTACAATTTCAGGTAAAAAAATGTAAAGTCAATCTATTCATCCTTCCATCCAAATTTGATCCTGTTGAGCCTATCGTCCTTCAGGATTTGATTTCTCACACTAACAGTGGTGATATCTTTTAAAATTCAGTATTTTAAGAGGACGCTCTAATTACTTCACTGCTGCTGCTGCTGCAGCTGACAGAGCAGCAGAGCACATCCAATTAAATGACAGCTCAGCAGTGTTTGCAGGATTTGTTCAGATCTGCGCTTCTTATCTTCCAGTTTATTTGCATTTACAGTAACTCCACTTGTATTGAGTGCTCAGAAAAAAGAATAAGGGTGGGATCAGCTCCTGCACAGTCAAGACACCAAACCAATGGCCCACTGCTTCCAATATATTACAAGGAGAGGCCCCTGCTGCTGGCAGTGCCACAAATCCCAGCTGACATTTGCAGCCATTAACAGCAGTGCATGGTGGATCTGGCCCTCCAGTCTGGATACAGAAGATCACTATGGCTTGACACAGCCTTTAATTAATCGTGCATGCTGGCATGCCAAGTTAACAGTCAGCAACTCTACATGTGATTTGTGTACTGCAGCCTTGAATATATGGTTGGAGCAGAGCCACAGATTTACAGCGAGGCTGGTCCACCGCTTCACTTTAATCGTCCAGCATGAAGATGATGTAAATATGACCGCACCAGCCGCTCCGTCTCTGCTTAATTGCTCAATCACAAATGCGGCCCATGAACGCAAAATCTTCTCTTGAGGAAATCAGCATGGTTGCATGCACTGTTGACCACAAACAGGATGTGTGGTACAGGCAAGAGCTGGCGGAGACGTAAATCAGAGAATTTAGGACCTCCATGAGGTCATTTACCTTGTGGAGTTATGGTTGATATACTCATTGGAATGAACTCACACTAGTGCACAATATGCATGCATATATATATATATGCATGTGTGTGTATATATATATATATATATATATATATATATATATATATATATATATATATATATATATATATATATATATATATATATATATATATATATGTATATAAAACACAGCACATCTACACTCAAACAGCTTGATGCCAAAAAATGCTCCAGAAAAACATGACAGTCCCACTTTTTAGTACCATTGAGGGTCAGTTTGGGCAAACATCTGAACCACTCGCTATAACATCTAGTTGTTACAGAGTTTTTGACACAAAATTACCCCTCAAATAAAATTAAAAGGGGAGGAGTGGACATTTGAAGTGAATGAATACAGAAAAGTCATTCTCTTAGATAAAGCACCAATGATTCTCCCATTATCTCTCTGTCTATAGGAGTAAACTGGGTCCACTGCCTTTCATTTAGCCAGACAACAGACGTCAGAGAGATGTACTGTATCTCTCCACAGCTGATTTATCAGGCAGAGAAGCAGATGAAGGTGGAGGAAAAGGTGGTGGTGTGTGTGTGTGGGGTGGGGGGTGGGGGGTGGGTGGGGGTGGGGGGGGGGGTGCAGTCATCGGGCAGTTGAGGCCTGATCAGTCAGGTGGGACGAATGAAACCCATCTCTGTGAGAAGGGGTTTGAGGAGTAGTGTGCAAATGGACACATTTCTAAAAAGTCTTAATGATGATTGAGTGATTTTTGTCAGCTCTGGAGTTCAGCCATGCAGAAGCTGGTAAACTGTATGTGACGCATAAATATGGACGATTAGCTCTGTGAGTGCATTTTGTTTTCCACTTGCAGAGAAGGGAAGCGTGAGAGTCGTTGGAGACGACAGATTGGCTTTTAAAGGGAAGTCGGTTCTGTTTCAGTGCCAAGCAGAAGGATGGTACCCTCAGCCTGTGCTGCAGTGGCAGGTGCACGGGAAAAAGGTAACAACAGTTTTTCTCTGTTTTCCTTTTTCCGCTGTAACGCATTATTTCAGGAGTAATAGATCATTTTTCTCTATTTGAAATAAACAACATCTACTTATGAGCGTACCAAACGCTAAATCTGATTTGACTGGATTTGCATCTGCAGAAGAAGAACTGTGTGGAAAAACAGCCTTTAGTGTTCATTACTCTATCAATACATCATGTTCAGTGCTGAAAGCTTTTTTGCATTTAGCTTTTATTTAGGTCTCCTTAACATTGGGTGAAGGCCTCACTATGACTTAAACCAGACAGCCTGAACACGAGTCTTAGTGGGGTCACAGGATCAGTAGGTGCACATTGAGTACGCCGCGGGGTTTTTGTTAAAGAGAACCGATGCAAAACGGGTTTCAGCATGCACAAACCCTCCAGTGCAGTGCTGTGGTGGTTTATCATTCAGGTCAGGAGTTCTGCTGTCCAGCCCAGACCGGCAATGCTAAACGGCAAATGGCCTTTATTTGTATAGCACTTTCTAGGGTTCTGGAACCCCCCAAGGCGCTTCACAACACAATCAGGCATTCACCCATTCCCACACACATTCACACGCTGGTGGTGATGAGCTACAGTGTAGCCACAGCTGCCCTGAGGCACACTGACAGAAGCGAGACAGCCAAACACTGAAGCCACCGGTCCCTCCAACCACCACAAGGCGGGTTAAGTGTCCGGCCCAAGGGCACAACAGCAACGTTCCCCAAAGGAAGGGTGCCACCGTTTTGTCTGTTCAAGCAGGATTGTGGTTCAGGGATGAGAGAGGACTACACTGTCCATCGTATAAACTCAGTTTGAGTGGATGATTGGGAGGTGGGGGCGAGGAAGGTCTCTGACGGCCCCATCAAAACTACAGTTTCTCTTCTGACTTAAAAGTTTATATAAATAAAACACATTTAAATTTGTTTTTAACTTTTGTAGAAAACAAACTCCAAAACTTCCGGATCCATCAACCACGAGCCATGTTGATGGTGATGCTGCTGCTTTTAGAGCAAATTAGAAAAGCTGATTTGATTGACTGTTTATCCCATTTTTATGTTCTAGTAATTATTTTCCATCAACCTTAAACTGATCCCATTTAAAGCCTTTGGTTGCAGATTATGCTGGGAACTGATTACTAACAGCTGGCTATGACCAGTAATTGCTAGGAGTTTCGCCTTTACCACACAATAAAATTAGCAAAAGGTTTTTTGTTTTGCTACTACTTTGAATATTGCAATGTCTGATTTTATTCTGAGGTTCTGCAGCCATATTTAATTTGTCTAAATAGGCGCACTGATTAGGAGTAACTGAACTTCCAGGTGTTGACTTAAGGTTTCCGTAGTAAACACTTTTTTAAATCAGTGAAAAGGCCAGCATAGGGTGTAAATAATGATTTTCTGTGTGGGTGATGGTGCTCAGGTGAGTCCTGGTGACTATAACAGCAGCATACAGGAGACGGACAAGAGCCTCTTCATGGTGTCCAGCAACGTGAGCGTTATGGCTGAGAGGACGTCCCCTGTGGACTGCCTGGCCTCTGTGTCTGCCCTCAGCACACCTCTGAAGAGCCGCGTCACTCTGATCGTTGGTGAGAGCAAACAAACTGATATTATGGGAAACATTTCTCTCCTTTTTCTGTGAGAAGATTTAAATCTCAGTAGCCCAGTAAATATCTTCTTTGTCTGCAGATTTAGATCAGACGTTTCTCTGAATTCTGTGCTGAAATGTGACTTTTTCTCTTCCAGTTGTAGAGGTGTCACAGGTTGAAAGTGGTTGCTCGGCGCTGTTGGGAGCGACCACCGCTCTCTCCGCTCTTCTGCTGCTCATGCTGCTCTCCATCTGCACTGTCCTCTGTTACAGGCGAAGGAGAAACCCAGGTAGGCACTCTCCTCCGTCTTAAATCGCTCCAGGCGAACAAATGCCAGCTCGCCCCACCAATTCTTCTTTTCAGTGCAGGAGCTGTGATTAAAGTATAATGAGGAGCATCGGCGGCTGCACGTTGCCCTGTGGTGGCCTTCACCAAGATCACGCCGTATCTTTTCTGACAAAAGCAGAACATTGGTGGTCAGCAGAACACTGTTCTCATGAGGAAGCAGCAGAAAAGGAAGGGCCAGGGAGGTTTGTGTCTGGCTGCAGGAAGGGTAGTCTGACCCATGGAAAAAGGTGGACAGCAGCTAATAAACTCTATTATCTTTAGCTGAAAAGTTTTTTTTTTAATTATTTCAGCAATAGTGGCATAAAATACAGAAAAGGATGTAACAGGTGCAGCTTTTTATCATTTAAACTTCTAATAGTTCTTCTTAATGCACAATTTAACAATTTATATAAAATTCAATTTCCTAATGAGGAAAACAAATTTAATATTGGGGATCAGTGATCTGTATATTTGAGCAAAAATCAGAGAGTTTAAATTAAACCTTTCTTCTTACATTATAAACCATTTGTCAGTTAAGCTCTCTGTGTGAGTGGAGGCCATCCTAATGCTGCTGCCTGTGGGAAGATAGGAACCTTGAACAGGTTACCTGTTTGATTAGGTGTGTGTGTGTGTGTGTGTGTGTGTGTGTGTGTGTGGTATGCACTTGTATTAATAAGTTTATGTGGACAAATTTTAACTTTTAACCTGTAGTGTGTGGACATTTTCACATTGTGGGAACATTTGGCTGGTCACCACAATGACGAAATACCCTAAAATGTGGTTTTAGAGATATGGTGTGAATTAACTTTTGTTTAGGTTAGGGATAGAATTAGAACAGCATTGGTTATGGTTAGGATTGGTGTATGGGTTAGGCATAATACAGTCACAAAAATGAAAATATATAAAAAATGAACGGAAGTCAATGGAGGGTCCACACAAGCATATAAATACAAGTGTGTGTGTGTGTGCGCGCGCATGTCTGTACTCAGCTATGACACTTTATTGCTTCGGGGCATCAAGAATAACTATTTTCTGCAGTTGCTGGTGATGAAACACTTTTTATTTAGGTGCCTTTATTACATTAATTACCTTTATATTAAAGGTAGTGGCCATCAGACTCGGCATTAAAATTGTAGAAATTCATTATAACTGCACTTTACCATCTACATAAATATGAACTGGGTTCAGTTTTTCATTTTGTTAAGAACTTTTGTCATAAATCATTACAGAAAATCCAAATCCTCTCCTCTAGACAGTGAAGGACTGTGTTCTGCCTACATCACTCCAGCAGTAAAACAAGGTCGCTGCTGATGCTGGTATTGTGAATAACTGTATTTTGTTTCCTTTTGTGCTCTTAATTATTACGAAAAATTGCGTTTACAGCTGCAACAAAAGGTCTGAGCCATATGTCCGTGTCCTACACGCATTTTTAAATAACACAGGTCTGATCTAAAATATTAACCTACGTCTATAAATCCATCTAGAACCGCACCAGTACTTCTGGACTCCGAGTCCTGTTAGCATGACTGCAGCAACACTGTTTTAGTTCCGATAAGGAATAAAACAAGTCAATTGGGAAAGCTATGACACACACACAGATATAATCTAAAAGATGATCCCCATAACAACAATAGATCCTCCATGGACCAGTAGAACTTCATGACATCCTGGATTAGTGGAGTCAAACTAAGGATTCCAGCATCGGGGAGATTTATTCTGGTGAGCTATTAGTTAAATATTTTCCGGAGTTATATCAATATATACATGGAGCTGTAAAGCTGGCAGCGCACATATCTGTAGATTAATTAACTATATTGGGACACATGATGGAGCTAAGACCAGCTGAGAACTCGTCAGTTTAGAGCTCCCGGTGGAGCACAGAAATGAAATATTTAACAAAAGCAAACAAACTGAAGATGAAAAGAAGCCTCCTCTATGTCCAAATTGGGTCGCAGGTCTTCTGAGTCAAACGGTCTAAAACATGTCTGCACCTCCGGTAGTGATATCCAGCTAGCGGGGTCGGAGTTCGGTTGAACTTCTACGGTAATCCAATATCCGTTCTCGCCGCCGTATCCCAGAGAAAAACCTAATCTGACCGACTAGCAGAGGCTTCAGAAGCTACACCTGACTGATGACACATTGTTCTCTGCTATAACGCTAACGCAGAAACACCGGAGTCAGGCGTAGTTTACCATCGCTGTTTTAGCAGATCTCCTTGTGAAACGTCACCAGCTGCCCAGGGCATAGACCCGAAGTTAGTTTCTGTTTTTCCCGCGCCAGTCCAAAACATCAGATTTTCTTGAAATTCCAGCGGTGAAAATCCCCAAACCTTTTTAATCTGAGGTTTTAATACTTCTTTACTCATGCTGTTCAAATGAAATTTGCCTCTGGCAAATATCTTTAAGGTTTATTCATCTCATCACCTCTAGGATGAAAGCATGGTGATAGAGGGGATTCCTGCTGTAGCAGACAGAGGAGCTGTGACAGAAAGACACACTTTTTAAGTTGCCATAATCCTCTAGACAGATGCTGCTCCACTGCTATTCATGCACCCAGTTTGGAGCAGAGGGATTACCGTAAAGCAGGTGTGACCTTTTGGTAACTGAAACATCTGACATGTCCTCCTCCTCCTCCATCCTCACTCACACAGCTCTGAGGAAACAAAAGAGAGATTCACATGAACTTCATTGGATTGCTTCACATGTCAGAGAACATGGCAACCTTCCAAGTCACAAAACACCTCTAATCTCTTTCAATAGGGTGTGATGCATTTTTTCTAATGACTACAAAAAACAACAATAAGACAGGCACCATACAAGAATGTGACCCATATGAAATTTAATATATAATAACAAGAGCCATTTCTCTCCTTGTAAAAGAGCAGTTTACATCCCTCCTGAGGCACGCTCCGTCTGCAGCTCGTGCCCTTTTTTTTGGCCACATGGAGCCACATGGAGCAGCAGCAACCATGAGGCCACGTTACTAAACTCATTAATGCCCAGCTCCAGCTTTTTGCTGCTGAGTTGCAGTCTGACTGGAGGCCAAGATATTAGCGCAGAGCTCACAGCAAATAAACAGCAGGACAGCCCTGTTATTGCTGTGTGTGCAGTGAGCGGGCCCAGTTGTTCTGTGGTCAGGGAGAATCATAACGTTAGCAGCTCATAAAACCAAACTTGATCATCTTGTTTTCTCTTTCAGAGAAAGACCCACAGGAGGTAATAAGGTAAGATTTAAAAGCTTTTGCTTTGTGCATCATGGAGTTTTAAATATTCAAACGTTGCATCTTTTTAAAATAAAAACAAAATTAAATTTATATTTACGGTGAAGTTTCTGGTAGAAACAGATTTCCTGCAGAGGGATGGAGCTGTCATGAGCTCGCCTTTCTGAGACTCAGCATGAATCTTTGTTAAAACTGATCTCTGGGAATGAATTAAGGTCTTTATTGATCTTTGTCATGAATTTGAAGTGACCGTCTTCATGATTTATGACAACTTTATTAGAATTCAAACAGTCAAAGCGCTTAGGTTCGCCAGCATTTTTCACACAGCTTAAAAACGAAGTTCCAGCCGAGGACTTTGATTAAAGCAGAGTGAAAAAAGATTATGCTCATTTTTATCTGTCAGAGGACTTTATGTTGAGAAGAATGCAAAGAGCCTCTGATATACACTGCAGTAAACGGCCTGTCTACTACAGCGTGGCCTCTGGCGGTGGGATTCTGCCACCTCACTGCTGAAGGTCATCTGCTCTCTTGGGTGTTTGCAGGTTCGATCAGTCACTGTTTGGGAGGGGCTCGGTTGCTGAGGCAACAGGTGGGAGCCTCAACATGGGGTACTCCGGTGAAGGCCCAACAGGTGGGGGAGTCAGAATTTTACAAGTCATTAATAATTAATATGTGGAAATTATTTATGTTGAGGTTTAGTTGACAATTTTTGCAGCCCTGCTTCTTTTGTATAGATATATTTCCTGAGATTCATTGACTGTTTTGATTAGATCAAACTCAGTTAACTTATAGTTTTAAATCTTTAAAACAGCTGAAGTAAATCAAGGTGAATTTAGCTCATTTTCAAAACAAAAAAAATTAAAAACAGATTTACTTTTGCCCTTGTAGACTTTTGAGTTCATTTTAGGGCTTTTTTAAAATTAGTCACTGCATATTTCAACACTTGAACATTATTGTTGCAAATTCACATCAAACCACTTTTGGTCATAAAGCAGATGTTAGGATTAGTACCTTCAATAGAAACCTACCATATCTAATCCCATACATGTCTACTGCCCTCTGCTGGAAGGTCTGAAGATTGCAAGGGTAAATTTTATTTCTTTATTACTTAGCTTTTATATTATCACTACACAATAAACTTGTAGTAACAAATATTATTTGATTATATATAAAATAATTTTACTTCATAGTATTTTAAATATAATTTGTTTAGTTCAACAAGGTAGATGAGAAAGGTTATGGGCAGAAAACTTTTTTTTAACAATAATAAAATACACAAAATAAAGAAATGAAAAATTCTATTTAAGTAAAATCTAATTGTCACGGGGAGTTAATGTTCTATTTCGTATAGCTCTGCCCTTTAAGACATTGCCTATTGGATTAATCCCATCCCCTTAACCAATCATTGAAGAGCATTTGTGTACGCCCGCCTCCTAGGCGAGTCCTGGTCCCTAAAAAGGCACAGCAAGCATAGCTCGTCTCCTTTTTTTTTTTTTTTTTATCTTCGAACAACTTAATCGTTTGAAGGAGCTTAAACTAACCTATTCTTCAAGCACATGTCTGACAATCCGGTCAGTTTGTGCTCCCCAGGATTTACATGACAAGAACAACCTACTGAAAAGTGTCATGTCCAGCGGAGCCGTTCATCTTCTCCACCGGACAGGTACTGTTTATTTACTTAATTGTGGAGGAAGGCCTCCACGATCCCTGGCAGGACCGAGGCCTGGACTCCCGTGTTCTTCTCCTACGCCGTTTCCGGCGAAGAGAGCGCTACTTCGTTAGCTAGTTGCTTAGGCTTCCTGTTCCCGCACCCGTGCTGCATAAGATGGATGGCTTATTTGCCAGCACGGCACTGTCTAGTTTCGCTGCTCCTATCCAGTTATTATTTGGCTCCCAGCGGCTCTGGGTGACTGGAACAACGTTAGAAGGAACCTTACCTAACTTTGCCTTTTACTAAAGCTGGTTGTTTGGTGTGCTACTCCCACCTCCAAACATGGATTGTGACGCAGCTCTCCACTGTGCCCAGTGTTCTGCAGCTGTCTCCGCTGATAGTAGGACTGCTGAAGCGTGTGACTCGAATCTGTGCTCTGCTGCTTTGTCTATGCTTCTCGGACCTCCGGCTAGCAGACACCGGTTCAATTCAGCTTGGACGTGCTGTGTAAACCCCAATATTGCAGCGCTATCGAGACCACAGTAACCTGCAGGGTTAATCAGGTGTCTAGCTGGCCCGAGTTCTGTTCAGAACCAACACTCAGCCGCTGTCTCCAATCTTCCAGCTCAAGCTTGGCGACTCGATGCAGGAAATGTGTGTGATTATGACTGCTTATGAAATGAACATTCCCTGAGAACAAATTACTGTTACGGTCCACAGCTACAGATGGTTCGTACGATCCTTCTGCTGTCCTCTCACACATGTTTTCCCTCACCAAGCACAACCATCCCTCCTGCTCCTCCTGGAGATTGTTCAGAAGATGATGCAGATGGTCGAGGAAGCTATGTGGGAGGTCTTTGCCAAGCCAACCTGCCCCCACTTACGTCTTCGGGCGGCTGAAAGGTTGAATGCCATCTTCTCCACCCATCCAGAATTGATAGCAGTTCCAGCCCTTGGTAATTACTACCTTTATGTCCGGAGTGTATATGGGTCCGCACTTAAGGATGTCACCACAGAGGGTCTGACCTGCTGTGAGAGGTGGTCATCTTCCCCAGAACCCTCCAACGTGCCGCTTCCTGCTTCAGCGGTGGTCACGGAAGACGCATCGCATCCTGCTCCGGCGGTAGTCACGGAAAACGCATTGCATCTTTCTCCGGCGGTGGTCCCGGAGGACACATCGCATCCTGCTCCAGCGGTGGTCCCAAGGGTCGCATCGCATCCTGCCCCGGCGGTGGTCCCGGAGGTAGCACTGCATCCTCCTTCGGCGGTGGTCCCGGAGGACACACCGCATCCTGCCTCGGCGGTGGTCCCGGAGGACGCATCGCATCCTGCTCTGGCGGTGGTCCCGGAGGATGCATCGCATCCTGCTTCAGCGGTGGTCCCGGAGGACGCATACGGCTTCGGGGGTGGTCCCGGAGGACGCATCGCATCCTGCCTCGGCAGTGGTCCCGGAGGACGCATCGCATCCTGCTTTGGCGGTGGTCCCGGAGGACGCATCGCATCCTGCTTCGGCGGTGGTCCCGGAGGATGCATCGCATCCTGTTTCACCGGTGGTCCCGGAGGACGCATCCGGCCTCGGGGGTGGTCCCGGAGGACGCATCGCATCCTGCCTCGGCGGTGGTCCCGGAGGACGCATCGCATCCTGCTTCGGCAGTGGTCCAGGAGGACGCATCGCATCCTGCTCAGCCCTTCCAAGAGGCTCTGGTCCAGCCTGTCCAAGAGGCTCCAGTTCAGCCCGTCCAAGAGGCTCAGCCCAGTCCGGTGCCTCCAGTCCAATGGTCGACGCCTCCAGTCTCGAAGTCGACAGAAATCGATGTCTCCTGTCTCGAAGTCGACAGAAATCGACGTCTCCTGTCTCGAAGTCGACGCCTCAGTCTCCAGCTCTGAAGTAGACGTCTCCCCCTCCAGTCAAGGGTCTACGTCACCAGTGTTCCAGTCTCAAGATTCCCTTCAAGGGTCTACGTCCCCAGTGTTCCAGTCTCAAGTTTTCCAGTCTCAAGAGTCCCCACAAGTGTCTACGTCCCCAATGTTCCAGTCTCAAGAGTCCCCAAAAGTGTCTACGTCCCCAGTGTTCCAGCCTCAAGTGTTTCTGTCTCCAGAGTTCCCAGAGTCTACTTCCCCACCAGTCCCAGAGACTACGTCCCCACCAGTCCCAGAGTTCCCTCTGTCCCCTCAGCCTCCAGTGTCCCCTCTTAGTCGTCCTCAGTGTCTTAGCCCAGAGTCCCCTCTTAGTCCTCGTCCTCCTTTAGTGTCCCCTCTTAGTCGTCCTCAGAGTCTTAGTCCAGAATCCCCTCGTAGTCCAGTGTCCCCTCTTAGTCGTAGTCCAGTGTCCCCTCTTAGTCATAGTCCAGCGTCCCCTCAGTCTCCAGTGTCCCCTCTTAGTCGTAGTCCAGTGTCCCCTCTTAGTCGTAGTCCAGAGTTCCCTCTGTCCCCTCAGCCTCCAGTGTCCCCCCTTAGTCGTAGTCCAGTGTCCCCTCTGTCCCCTCAGTCTCCAGTGTCCCCTCTTAGTCGTAGTCCAGTGTCCCCTCTGTCCCTAGAGTCCCCTCGTGGTCCAGTGTCCCCTCTTAGTCGTAGTCCAGTGTCCCCTCAGTCTCCAGAGTCCCCTCGTAGTCCAGTGTCCCCTCTTAGTCCTCGTCCTCCAGTGTCCTCTATCCCCAGACTCCCGCAGTCCCGGCTTCTGGTTCCCCGTTGCCGGCACCCCAGACTCCCGCTGTCCCGGCTCCTGGTCCCCCTCCTTCTGCCCTGCTCTGGCCCTCCCTCCTGGTCCCCCTCCTCCCGCCCTGCTCTGGTTTCCTGTGGGCGTCTTGAATCCGCCCTTGGGGGGGTGGGGGGGTGGGTGGGTGGGGGGGGGGGGGTTCTGTCATGACTTCCATCCTTCACCCTCCTCTGCCTCCTCATTTAACTTTCATTCAGCTCACCTGGTCCCTTCACCAAGCTCCTGACAAGCCCTGTTTCCCCTGGCAACCACAATCAACTCCATTCATCTCACCTGTTCCTGTAATCAGCTTCATCCACTTCACCTGCTCCTGACTCCTCAGCTCATCTCACACACCTGCTTCCCCTGCTATAAAAGATCAATTCAGCTACCCAGTCTCTGCCAGACTATTGAAAACATTTGCCAGTAAATTCTCCAGCCATCCACCCTGCCTGATCTCTGCCTCCGGACCTCGTTCTTCGCCTGACCCCTGCCTTGTATTCTGCCTGCCAGTTCGACCTTCGCCTGTCTCCGACTCTGTCTCCAGCCTCGCCCAACTCTGGTAACTCGGCATCCTAATAAAGACTTTTTATTTTACTCTCATTGTATTTGGCGTCTTCACGGGTCTTCCTAGTTCTGTTCGTGACAGACATACAGGGTTTATTTTGAAAATGTAACACGTTAAAAAAAATACCATGATAATACAGAAAACCGTGATAATTTTGGCCACAATAACCGTGAGGTTAATTTTTCACACCGTGACAACCCTAGTCACCACCCCGATCTCATGTCTCATGTTGGGAGAGTTTCGGGGATGTGGCTGTGGATCTGCTTGCATATCGTGAGAACACACCCTACAGACTGTGGTTCTGGTATGGATGCTTTAGCTCACGAATCATGGCTCAGGCTTCTACTTTACATTTTTTCCCGGTTCCGCTAATTCCCAGCCTCTTGGTATGGATTGGGCAGGAACAGCTATCAATTGTTCTGGTAGCCCCTCAACGCAGCGCAGCTCCTTGGTCTTTGGAACTGCAGCTGTTGGTGACAGCGCATCTGTGGTGCCTGTTTTGGAGGGAGGATGCGCTCCTACAAGCAAGCGGAGCCATCAGACACCCACCAATCCTGAATCTACATTTGTGGATTTGATTGCTAAACAGTTGCACTCAGTGTCTCTTGGTCTATCGCCCGACATGATCCAGACCATTCAGAACGCTCGCGCTTCATCCACAGTGGTCTCATATTCTGCTAAATGGGCTGCGTTTCAGCGTTTATGTGAGGAGTGAAACTTGAGCTCCTCTCCTGCCCATTAGCCAGCATTCTGTCTTTCCTGCAGAAGCTGACACAAATATGTGACTCTGCACTGAGATCTGGCTGTGCTTCTGCGCGGACTGTCCCAGGCTTCCTTTGAACCTTTGGACCAGGTTCCAATAAAGGTTTTGTCCCTCAAAACCGCAATGTTGCTGGATTTGACGTCATTTAAGAGAATTAGTGACCTAACTTCTCTCTCTGTCTTGCCATCTTGTCTCAGGAAATGGAACGATGGGTGTACAGCCGTTCTCTGACCCAAACCCAGCGTTCTACCCCCAAAGAGCATCACAAGCTCTTTCAGGCCCTGAACCATTTCTCTGGTGGGGTTTTTCTTCCCCTCGTGCCAGAGTGAGATGCTGCATCCCACCTGCTATGCCCAGTGTGTGCGCACAGATTCTTAAGTCTTTCGCACAGCTCAGCTGCGCACTCCGCAGCAGCTGTTTGTTCACTACAGTGATTGTTCCAAAGGACAACCTCTGTCATCTCAGTGTCTTTCACATTGGCTGAGTGGCCTATGCTTCATATGGCTTGGAAGCTCCAGTCAGATTAAAAGTACATTCTAATCAGGCAGTTTCTTCCTCTGTTGCATTGCGAGCTGGAATGTCTGTAGCAGACATATGCATGGCTGCTTCATGGTCTTCACCACCTGTTTTACCTCAGAGATGTGTCCACCAGTCTCGCTACCAATGTGGTGCTAACGCACAGTTCAGCATAATCACAGCTGTCGCTGAAAGCTCTTATCAGAAACCTTGCAGTTTCGTTTTTGCCATCCTTGTGTTCTTAAACACCCTCGTTGACATGTCCTTACAATATGTCACATTGTGCCCTCTCGTTTGTGACAGCTTCTCTCTCACTGGTTGCTAGGCAACCTTGGGGTTTATTCTCATCAGCTATACGCTGATCATATGCTGTCATCATGTCCTCCAGCTATTCTCTCATGTTTACGCCCGCCGACAGCTGTAGAAGTTTATTAGGTGGAGCCTCTGAGTCCCCTCAGGTTTAGTTCTGAACCAGTGTGGCGTTGACTATGTCTGGCTCCGCCTTTAATCCAATAGGCGATGGCTTAAAGGACGGAGCTATACGAAATAGAATGTCGGTTACATTTTGTAACCCCAGATTCTATGAGTATAGCGTAGCCCTTTAAGCATCTTGGCGTCACTGGTTCTTTGGGCTCAATCAGACTTATGGAGATGAGCTATGCTCACTGTGCCCTTTTTAGGGGCCAGGACCCGCCTAGGGAGGCAGGCGTACACAAAAGCTCTTCAATGCTTGGTTAAGGGGATAGAATTAATCCAATAGGTGATGGCTTAAAGGGCTAAGCTATACTCATAGAATCTGGGTTTACAATACGTAACCAACGTTACACCCCGAATCAGGGGAGAAAGAATCACAAGAGTGATTTATGAGCTGCTTCTCTCATGCAGTCATTTAATGCAACCAAAAATGAACATACATGTTTTACATTCCATATTGTCTCAGGTCATACAGTGGATGGAGCCAATTATTAAACAAAATAGTCAGAATTTACTGAATAAAGTTATTCAGCACAAGTGGTACCAGTAGCATTTCTAGCACTTGCCGTCAGCTAATAGCTAAACACACGAATGCGGTCTAACTACGCATAAAACTGACATAAAATAATCTACAAGTCACAAACACCCACAGTTATCATGTTTTATTACATTACCTGAAACAGGGGAGAAATAATCACGAGAGTGATTTATGAGCTGCTTCTCTCATGCAATCATGTTTTCCCCCAGTGGAAGGCAAAGCCACTACCAATCGAACTCAGAGAAGGCTTGTTAGTCGATCGCCGATACACAATTCACTCATTTTAACTAAAATTAATCAAACATGAAATATAACATGAGATATTAGCTTTTAAACAGTATTGTTAATATATTTACATTGGTCTGTTTTTAATCTATATGAACCTGCTATGAATTTACATTCACTGTGAAGCTTTGTACCATAAACAGCATTTCTTACCACACCGTAGTTCAAATGAAATCAGTCTTATAACAAATAATGAACAGTCACTGGATTCTCCTTGGAACTGCTTAGAGGGGTATAAAAGCGGTCTTTAAGCTTGGGCATCAAACAGTCTTTTAGCCTATCACATGAAATACCAGGGAGACGAGATGAGGACAGAGAGGAGCACTGCCTTATGGGACAAGATGACTGAGTTTTAGGTGCTTTTATGATAGCAGATGTGTGTGTGTGTGTGTGTGTGTGTGTGCGTGCGTGCGTGTCTGTGTGTGTTGAGCTGTAAACACTCAGAGGTAAAGACTTCAGTTAAATGTTAAACAATTATACTCATATAAAAAAACAGATAGCCTGGTAGTTAAAAGTTTCTGCCTCATTCTTCACCCTCTGGAGACGTGTGACAGAAAAAAACAAGTGTCTTTATAAAGTATAGAGACATAGATTAATTACACTATTACTAATGTTTTAAGTTAACACAATATCAATATTCCATTGTGTTTGAAAGTAATTTAAGCACTAATTTAAATACCGGATGCTTGTTTGGTTCCTTTTAGATTAATCGAACAACACTTCAGTTTGACTCGTGCTTTAAATCTAAACTTTGGTGTTTAAGGAGCTGATGAGGAGAATAAAACTTTGCTTCACTCTGCAGACGTGGATAGCATCGAAGGTATCACCGAAGTTAGAGACCAAGTCAGATTTGACACATTTCGCAAGGTAAGCCCTTAAAATAAAACCCCATTAATAAAGAAAGAAAGAAAGAAAGAAAGAAAGAAAGAAAGAGAAAGAAAGAAATGTTGAGTCAAGAACATAGAAACAGAGAAGACTATGGAGATTTTATGCTTTGCGTTTCCTATGAACCCATTTTTAATAAGAACGTCCTGTTTTAGTGTTGGTCCTGCAGGATACGTGAGAGTTTAAAGGAAAAATCTGAGGCACCATCTTTCATCTGAAATATAGTTGATGAACCATTCATTTCTTTTTGCACCACTCAGTAAACAAAGCTGTAATTTTTGTGTCCTTTTACCATGGTGACCACAAATCCAGTCACCATGAATGGAGATTAGGATTTATATAATTGTTTACATCTAGCTGCCATTTGTTGAGGAGCCTGTTCCACCCAGAAACAGACACGGGCCAGGTCCCATTTCCAGCGACGGAGGCGGTTGGATTGAGTTAATTAGATACAAAGTGCTGCAAAAAGATTTAGCTCTTGTTTTTTGTCGTCAGATTTGATCACAAAAAAGACAAGCAGAGTAAGTACAACATGCAGTTTTCAAATGATGATTTCAGTTATAACGTAAGACACAAAAACCTTCCCAAACCAACCTGACCTGAAGCGAGAAAGCAGATATCTCTTGTCATTTCATACATTAATTACATTTCATTAGAAAAGCTGAGCTCATCCTCACTAGCCACACCCAGGCCTGATTCCAGACCATAAAACGTTACTTTACCAGAAAATGTCTGACAACATGAAGTAGGCTAAAGGATCTCAAAACAATAACATATCTTCAAAAGAAATTTCAACACAAAATAATTCAAATTCCAACCAACACAAATGGGGAAACTTTATATATTTTAATTATATGAAAATACATTTTACAGCTCAATGATTCTAAATCAAAAAATCTCTTTTTAAATATTAATTGGAGTTTCTTTGGCGCAGCTGTCATGATCAATTATCTGTTTTATTTCTCGTGACACATGACAAGTGTTGAAATGGTTGGCAGCTGGTTGTGTGATCTGAGAAATATACAGCAAATCAATCCTTGAATCACAGATATGAGATGCACAACAGCTCATTTACTTGTTTACTTTTCACATGGAGCAATATTCATAAGGGACTTTAAGATATAAACCTCTGCTGTGGCATTTCTGTATTTCTTAGATCTTCATTGTCCTGCACTCATTTATGATCATCTAATTCCGTGAAAATGTTACGCTCCTCATGTCCTGTGAATCCAGTAAGACTGTGACGTTGTCCTCCAGGTTCCTGATGTGGTGCACTCCAGCAGCGAGAGCCAAGCCAACGAGCCTCAACAGGAACCAACCTTCAGTAATGTCAGGAGACTTACTACTGTTTAAATATTAACCTCTAATATCATTTGAATGTAATGTTTTTTATTTTAACTCCTATGATATATTCTTGAGCATAAAACTGTCTTTTGTATGTTGATGTTTACTTTTTACTTTTACTTGAAATTTTCTTGCAGCCCAAAGTGATTCATCATCATTCATTTTAAATTATCTGTGACTGGGGGAGGTTTTTGTGCATGTCGACTCAGCAGATATTTAATAACTGAGGTTGTTGAACAGGAAAATAATTATGGGTATGTAATGCAAACTGTCAGAGAACCTTGCTACTTTATATTCATTATGTTTTGAATCATCAACAAACAAACAAACAAACACGATCTCTCAGAAAGAAATGTCTTCAGTGCTTCAGGGTGTAAAACAGGATTCACTGCTAGCCCGGACAGTAGATATTAGCATCTCCTCCAGTAGATCTAAAGCTGCAATGGCAAAATTGCAAAACTAATTAGCTTAAAACAGTTTTTCATGTCTCTTAACAATGTTTTAACATAGTAAAGCTGTAAATTATTCTGGAGATTAAAAAAAGAAAAGAAAATAATGAATAAAGTGGTTATCTCGCAATTGTCTAAAAACCTCCGACTATAACACATTTTGGACCAAACAAAAGTATCAAAAGTAACGATTGGACCATCTGGTTGCCAGTCACAGAACCGCCGCACTCCCCTGGGTCCTTCATTCATTACACACTCAAGTATTTAGCAACAGAACACCACTAGTGTGAGAGGTTCTCCACAGCTGCAAACAGCTGGCTGCTAACACTTCATCTTTAGGACAAAATATTCCAACAAAAGAGTGACTGGTGTTTAGCACTATCTCGTTTCCTCTGGCAATGTGGGTGTCCGGTTCCGGCAGATGCGTCGGGAAAGATACCCAAGGGGAGGGGTGAATGTTCCGTGATCAAGTTTGCATTCAAAACCCAGCTTGTTCCGCAGATTTGCCAAAGCAGCTTTAAAATGACGATAAGTGGCTCGCTTCTCCCCCTACTGGTTGAAAAAGGAGTTACAGCCCTGCCGCAGGCTTTGCAGGTGTCATCAGACATGGTGTTGTACTTTGCATATTTTCATGCAGGGGCGGATTTAGCAATTTGGGGGCCCAAGGCGAACACAGACATGGGGCCCCTTACACTAAATTTTCAACAATCTTACCTTTAACTGGATTTGCGAAACTCTCCCCTCTTCTGACATGAGTTATTTTCCCTTTTTATTAGTCCTCCTCTTTTTTTCCTGTATTTCCCTCCCTTTGAGTGCTTTCAATATTTGCTCTGCTTTCTTTTTTCTGTCAGCGCTCCTGTGCTTTAGCCTTAGTTATTTTTTTTTCTATTTTCCATTTTGGTCTGTTTTCCTCCCTTTAAACATTTTCCATTGTCTTTCCTTTCTGCTTCCTTTTGATGTTTACATCGAAAAACAACGTCACTTTCAGAAGTGAAGATAAAAGCTTTTAGGAAGCATGCTGCTTCTTTCTCTTATTGGAGCCACTAGGATAACTTCATTTCATGCTTAATGTTTTGACTATCGCTTTGAGTTTGTTACGAATGCTCCCGCCTCTCTTCTTCTTATTATTTGTGGTCTTATGGGACTTGGCAAAAACAATTTGGTGCATTACTGCCACCAACTGGATTGGAGTGGAATGACTACCAATCACTTCCTGTTTGTGCATCGCAGTCTTAATAACCCTTTTATGACCATAATTATAACAGGGCCGCCTGGTATTTTCTTTTAATCTTATGGCTGTAAAATTGTAATAAAAAGTGCAAAGTGTGTGTAAGTCTTCTCCTTTTTTCAGAACAACCTCAGCTTTCAGTGTATGGTTTGTATTTCCAAACCACTATAACATTTCACGAAAAGAAACTTGAAGCCACTTCTCCTCCAGCTTCACTGGCTGCCAGTCAACTTTAGGGTTCATTTCTTAATCCTGGTTCTGGTCTATAGGGCCTTACATGGACAAGCACCATCTTACATTGGTGATCTTCTTAGTCCCTACACCCCCAGCAGGTCCCTGAGGTCCAGTGATCAAAGCCTACTGGTTGTGCAGCACCAGGCTAAAGACCAAAGGTGACAGATCATTTGCTGCTGTGACCCCCAGACTCTGGAACTCTCTCCCCCTGAGCCTGAGATCAGTGGACTCAGTGGTCTCCTTTAAAAAGCAGCTGAAGACTCACTTGTTCAAGCTGGCTTTTGTATGACCTTCTTCACCACTCTCTCTTTATTCTGCTCTCCCCACCTATTCCACCTTCCTCACTGATTTCCCTCTTTCCTATTCACTCTCTCTCTCTTTCTTAACATTTTTTCTTTTAAATCCCAATTGCCTATTTTTGCTTTTTAAATATATTTTTAAACATTTTCTAAATGCTTTTTTATATTTATATTTTTGTTTTTGTGAAGCGCCTCGTGATTTTTATCTTGACAGGCGCTATAGAAATGATATTTTCTTCTTCTTCTTCTTCTTCTTCTTCTATTTAGAATGTATTTCTATTACAGCCTTTAAAAAATCAGCTTAAAAGTGAAAAAAGCAAAAAACGGATTTGAATTTTTTACAGTTGTTACTGAACAGGAACTTCAAAATTACTGGGCAAACAATTTAAACTTTGAACTGAAATGCATCTATTCTTAAAAAAGTTTGAACCTTGGTGTCTTGTAGCAGTTTTTAAGACTTTGTTTTTGTAAACTTTCAGACGTTTTTATTTGATGTGGTAGACCTTGAAGCAGCTTCTCTCCAGCTGCAGGCAGAGTCCTGCACACCTCACACCGCCATGGGGTGCTTCTCTGGCACACCGTGCACTGCCAGGGGCGTAGCACCAAATTCTGGGCCCTAGGTACAAGTCTTCTAGGTGGGCCCCCATGCTCAATTACTTAATATCTCTCTTACACATTTTTTGTCATGCTATAAGACAAGATAATAAATATGATCTTAGTTTAACCTCTATAATGAGCAAATACAAATGCCAGCATAATAAAAGTGAAATGCCCAGACTTCACATATAATTATTTTTATTTGCCAACAATGTGTTCAAACAAAAATCCTGGAATTTATTTTCCAGTAAATGCCCACTGACGGGTCTTCATGTTAGCAAAATCACTTATGAGATCTTTAAAGTCCAATCCTTTGGCTAATTGGCTTTCAATAGAAAGAAGAGCTAGCTGTTCAGTCTATCCTGGGACATTGTTGATCTCAAATAATTTTTCACCAGTTTCAGTTTGCTAAAAGCCCGTTCACCCCCAGCAACAGTCACAGGTAGTGTGCAAAATATCCTCAGTCCAATACAAACTTCTCCAAAAATGCTCTGTAATTGCATCCTGTATGGCATTAAGCAGCTCAAGAGGAGACCGAATGTGTGGAAGTGTGGCACCATATAATGTTCTCAGGTGTAGCATCTCATTCTCAAATTCAGCTGTGAGATCCTTGTAATATTTTCTCATCAGTGCCTGGCATGATATCTTCATCTGCTCTTCAGTCATGTCTGTCATGGTTCATGATGTTAAGCTTTGCTGATATATATTTATATATTAAATACATATGACATGAAATAAACCAGGTTCTCTCTGTGAATGTAATGTACTCTAAATTTTATAATCCCTGCATTATCAGCAAAATTATAAGATTGTCCGTTTTCAAGATCAAATATAAAGAAATTTAAAATAGGCTTAAAATATCTAACCAAGTCAATAACAATCCTCTAACACCAGTGTCATCATGCTATACGAAAAACAGTGGCAGCTTCTCATTCCTGAGATTACCACGAATCCATCGATACCAAGTTTGTCCTGGTCCATGACTGGGAAGGAGCTGAAATATCCACACAGAGTGAACCTGTTTTTACTGCGAGGTCCGCGAATTAATTGGCGGCGGCCGCCCGCGATAATAATTCTGATTAATATATATATATATTAATTAGTGTTTTCACTGATAACACTACATAATTTATATTTGATCTTGATGGTGAAACTAAAGGCGTTTAACACTGAACACCTAACATGAATGCAGCTTCTGAGAGCTAGCTAATATCAGCTAAAACTGTGTTCTGCTGCTGCTGCTCACCTTCCTTCTTGAAAAACCTAGTCAGTATTTGCTTCTGTTCAATTAACTTTTTCTCCTTCTCCTTCTTTTCTTTTCTTTTCTGGAAGCCAGATTTTCCTTTCTTGGGAAAAGACATGACTGACTCTCCTGCCTCTAGCTCTGGCTGTCGGCATCTGCGATGTCTCATTAGCTGCACATGCGGCCGTGCAGCCCCTGGCCGCTGGTGTGGACTAAACCACTTTGCACATTTTTAAGGGGTGATAGATGCCTCAGAGATTATTCAGTTATTATTTTTAAGGCAAAATTCTGTTTCTTAACCTCTTTATCCATGTAAAGGGAAGTTTATTAAGACATTAAGTAAGTTGGGGGAAAAACAACAACAATAAAACATTTTTATTCAAAGCTGTCTCAGGGCCCCTCCCTGCAGTGGGCCCTGGGTAAACGGTACCCTTCCCCCCCCCCCAGTCCGACGCCCCTGTGCACTGCTATACCAAAAACTTTTGTTTTAGCAAAAATAATTATTTATTGTTAAAAGATAAATAATGCTGGAATGAAGCTGAATCTTACAATTAGCAAATAGTTGAGGGTTGTTCAAATAAAAAAATAAAAAATAAAGATGGAACAAACATTCGTACCCTGGTTCACTGGAGATCTGTCCTTCTTCGTGGTCACTGTCTTCAGATATAAGCCTTCTGGGACACCTAATAGATCGTGTTGATTTTCTTTGAGGCATTTCCATAATTTCATGCTGGCTTTTTATGCTGATTAGCGTACCCGTTCCGTTATCCTTTTTCACCGCGGCGCTGCGCTCCGTTTCAATCAGGCTGTACAGCAGGATTTCCCCTCGTAGCGATATTTTCCCTAACTCTGATTGCTTCATGCTATAGATCGTTGGAAAGCTGCTTTTATGTACTTTTAGGAACCGTTGGAATTTCCTGGATCTGATCAGCCATTCAAAAGTTATAAAACGGAGCATTTTGGATGACAAACTCAACACGTCTCTGAATCTGTGTTGTGATTCGGTGCGCTCAAGACAGGGAATCCCGGTGGCTACCGTAATGTATTGTATATGCACGAAAAGCCCTATTTTTAATCTTTTCAGCACTTTTGGAATTTTAATGATATCTTGAACGGTTCAGGAATTATGGTAATGAGAAGTGCATGTCCAATCCCACCTGCGGCCACAGGTTGGTAATAAGAATATTGTGGCATTAACAGAGGGGTATTGGCGGTCAGGGCTAGGGGGCCCCCCAACACAAGGGGGCCCCAGGCGGCCGCCTACCTATGCCTAATGGTAAAACCGCCTCTGTTTTCATGGATGTATGATTATTGGCAGTTCAGAAAAAAAATGCTTGCTACTTTTTAGAAGGTTTGAAACTGAAACCAACAAGTGTATGCTCCACTGATGGTCACTCTCATTATAGCTCTTGCTTTGCATCCAAATACTGTATATTTTCCTTGTTAAATTAAATAAAATTCAATTGATATAGTGCCAAATCAAGGCTGCGCAGAGGTGCAGTGGTTAGAGCTGTTGCCTTGCAGCAAGAAGGCCCTGGGTTCGTCTCCTGGCCTGGGATCTTTCTGCATGGAGTTTGCTCGTTCTCCCTGGGCATGCGTGGGTTCTCTCCGGGTATTCCGGCTTCCTCCCACAGTCCAAAAACATGACTAATTGGTCTGTTCAAAATTGTTCTTAGGTGTGAGTGTGTGCATGATTGTTTGTCCCGTGTGTCTCTGTGCCCCCCCCCCCCCCCCCCCCCCTCCCTGCGACTCCACGTGGACAAAGCGGGTTCAGACAATGGATGGATGGATAGTACAAAATCACAACAAGACTCATCTCAGGGCAATTCACAAAGTGAACATTTCAATTGAACCAACAAATCAGCACATTGACTTTAGTTCATTATTCCAATTAGTTAGAGGTTTCTAAAATTAAAAAATACCATGCATCGAGCCACTGACTTGTTGTGTCAGTGACTTTACAGCAATCTCCATACTAACCCCTCCTTTCCACCAGACACAAATGCGTCGCAAGATAGCCACAAAACCTACTTTGTGGCAGCTAGCCTCCATTGTGGTGGATGGGTTGCTTTCCACCGGCTGCAAAGTGTCACGTTTGAACGCGTCCCAGAAACATAAGGACGCTTTGCTTACGTTTCAAGTGTAATTTTGTAGCCCCTATGCTTCCAGAACACACCGAACTCCGCATTTCAGATCTGTCCAGACAGGAAGCCAAACATGAAAGCAGTGTAAAACATCTGGAAACTTTAAAAAATAAAAGGCACGCTCAGATTTCCAATTGCTTAACTAGTCAAAAACGTATGTCTTTTCCTGTGAAACCTCTGTAGCCGAGGTAAACGGATCAGAAAATAATCCACAGACCTCTTTGGATACATGCAGCCATCTGTCTCCTTGCTTGTTATCATGTGAACTTCAGAAATTATGCATGGTGTTACCGTTCTCCTGTGATTTGACCCCCATTTTTTGTCTGAAATGTTGGAAGGGTGCTCACGGATAAAACATTTGTATTATGTTACATGTCGCTCCCACAACTGGTAGAAAGCAGGGGTAAGCAAGCATGTAGCGACAGTGGAGAGGAAAACTCCTCTTTAACAGGAAAGAATCTGCAGCAGAGGCACGTACACTATGTTAAAGTATCAGGAGGAGGATATTTGGTTGGCAGCAGTGTGCCAGCTGATGACCCCTCCAGGAAGGTGAGTTTACCTGAACATCTATTCTTCATGTGTG